TCTCTCCTCTCTCCACAGGGAGACGTTACCTATAGTATAACACATTTGCTCTCTAATCTTTTCCAACTCTCGTTCTCCTCTCTCTCTTGCTGTCTCTCTTCTCTCTCTCTCTCTCCTTCCCTCAGAACAGGAGACGTTACCTATATATAACACATCTCTCTCTCCTCCCTCACAGGAGACGTTACCTATATATAACACATCTCTCTCTCTCTCCTCCCTCACAGGAGACGTTACCTATATATAACACATCTCTCTCTCTCTCTCCTCCCTCACAGGAGACGTTGTTCGGGGAGGGATTGCGCGTGGCACAGGAGCACCTGCGGCAGTCGAATCCCGCGGAGAACTCCCACATCAAACAGGAGCTGGACGACGAAAACGAGGAGCTTGAGGAGCTCAACGACAGCGAAGAGGAGGGGGAGGAGGCGACGGCGGGGGGAAGGTCTCGAGACGAGGTGGAAGCGGAGGCGGAGGAGGAGGAGGAGGAGGAGGAGGAGGTGAGGCGTTTGAGGGAGGGCACACGCTCGGCGGTGGAAGCGGATGCGGAACGGCGGCGGAGCGCGCGTTCGATGAGTCTCAAGGTGAAGCAAGAGGCGGAGACATTGCTGAGTAGTGAGGATAGCTGAGATTGGCTGTGCGTGTGCGTGCGTGCGCGTGTGCGCGTGAGTGATATAATTAATAGGTACTCGTTTGAGTGCGGGAGTCGTGGGCGGGAAAGGTGATCCCCGCTTCCTCGGTTTTCGTATGCGACTTGGACATCCCCCCTCCCCCCCCCCTCGAGAGTGTCAGAGCATTTCACGTCGCAGCTAGTTCTGTGTACCATTTGCGTCGTCGCTGTAAACTGAGAGGTTTTTTGTAGGGTTTTTGCAGCGTGAATAGTGTTACCAAAGTTTTTTCCATGTTTGGTGCGACATTTTGAAATGTTAGATTCTTTCGTGAGAGACCATCATGTATTTTTTAGTTGTTAAAACACGTCTGCGTGAATCCTGTGATCAAATAGATGTGAAAACTGTACGGAATCTGCAGTCATATAGGCATTTCAAGACGCATGAGGGGTGAAGATATTATTGTAAGGTGTTGGCAACCTTACCTCATCTACCCGTTGGCAATTTTGGGAATTTTCTTTTGCTGTATTTTTATTTTCCAATGTTTAAATGAACAGTCATCATCTATATTTCGTGTTATGTGTTATAAACGCTTGCAATGTCTCTCGATGGCCTCCGTCTCTTGCCCCATATAGAAAAAGATCGTGGCAAATGTAAGTGTCTGGCAGAGATTCTTGCGTAGTTTGTATGATAGAACGCTTGTGTATTTGTAAACGAAATACACCTGAAAAGCTTCCCTTACTACTACAGCAGTGGAATCCAGTTTGTGTTGCTTATTACATAGCATGTTGCCTGCACTTCTAATTACGATGAATTTCTCATTGTAGCTTTGATTGACAATGTTAGTCATCTCTCGCCTTCACTGGTTTCACTTGGAGAATTATCTCACCAATACTTGCACTAACGAACCGTGCAGATTTAGGCGAATACAATCGTATTTTTCAATCGCTTTTTTCTCAATGCCAAAAATCGAAATTTGCTGCGTGAAAACTGTAATTAAATGAAAGTTCGATAATATCGAATCAGCTGTGGTTTGCAAGGCAACCTTTGTAACGTGAAATACGTGGAATCGGAGAGGTAATAGCATATATACCTCACCACACCTATTTTCCTACACAATCTACTTATTTTCTAACAGCAGGTGTTGGCCGAATGTAATGCTATGAGTTTGATCAATGCCATATGATGTTATATGATATGTATTGTTATGTGAACATCATGCCCTCACTCGTACAACCACGTACGTTTGCAGAGCCCCCGTAGTTTGCAGTCAGTGTCCGTGACATTCTGAGATGTATATCGATCCGCTGCTCAATATATTCTTTGTGATGGAGAGTCTAATAAGTCCTCGTGGTCAGTTCACACACACTGGGGTTTCATGCTAGGATCTCTTGATGGTAACAGAGTGATGCTAGAAGAACAGAACCTTCGCCCCCTTTCAGCCTGCATATTGTCAGCCTCCTGTGTAACATGGTCTTGTATGCTATATAATTTAGCTGACGTTTTCCTCTGCACGGGGCTCGCAGCTTTGATACTAGCTTCTTATAGATTATCGCGTAAAAACGGGCCAGACAATTCCGAAAAGGATTTGCTGGTTGGAATTTTGGACGCAAACTTGTGGTTGACGTGCTCTTGGTTATATATGGCTGTTATGATATGTTGGAATGATTGAAGTTTAGGTGCATTATTTAAAGTATTGTTTGTTCACTATTGCTGTGAAATTTTCTCAATGTAAACAAAAGAAACTACCTATATTGTGATGTCTGTTTATGTGGTAAAGGTATAGCTAATTGCTTGTTAATGGATTGTTGATAAGGGTAATGTTGGGAGTATATAGACACCAATGTTGATGTATCTATATTCGCCGATTATACGTTTCGTTGATATTTTGCTATAATAGTGAAGTGTACGTAAAACCATGAAAAATATGGAATCATTGCAAGTCATCTTACTGAGCATGGAATTTTCCCCAGTGCAGTTAAATATACGCAGTCAGCCGTTATTAGTGTAATTGGGCTACAAATACCAACATTAGTGTGAAACAATATTTATTCCATCGCGTTTTAATAAGTTCGTCTCCCCTTCCGATGACAATTTTAAAGACTCGAATAAGAAGACTCGCAATGAATGATGAGAACCAAATGTGTTTGAGTTGCCAAACGTCTGTATGGGCGCGGCTATAGAGATATTCTCCCATGCTTTGTGGTTTAAAATAACACAGTGTTGATTGTCGCATTTCGTATATAATTTCTGTTGCGACGGAGGATTCTAGGATAGAGATTGAGGCGTTATACACCCCTGGTGCTTCGTAATCATGCGGATATTAGCCACGCATGTCAGTCTATATTAGTCGGGCAGTCGTGATCGCTCGACCTCTAATCATGTTGCCAGTCGGTGTGCCAGCGTGGTTGGGAAAGGATTGTTTGTCGTGCCATTCTGCAAGCGGTGTCTGGTCGTCAGATACGTTCTAATCTAGTCGAATGTAAACATGTTGTTGTTGACACCCTGCGCGCCCTAAAAATGTTACGCACAACGGGAGGGAGGGGAAGAATCCGCATGCCTGCCTGCCTACACGATATAATATACGAATTATACATTACACGCGTGGATGGATAGACAGCAACAAATTTAGTTCCCGCGGTATGCATCGGCTGATTTGAACTACATGAGATATATATTATCCACATTTCTAAAAAAAAAAAAATTGTTCTCTTTATGTCGATTGCGCCATTGCTCTATTCATTAATTACACCGTGGTTACCCGGATGCCGGTGACTATAGCTACCAGCGATTGCATAAAGCAGTAGGTACGGTCTCATGGGAGTAGACGGATCTAGACGCGGCTGCTTGGCAGTTAACTACATATTCGAGTTTCGTTTTAACTAGAGAAGTTAGGTTTCGCATGGCATCACGTTTGATTAGATGAGATACCGTGAAGGGGTGAGTTTGGTACGTTAGGTGCGGCTGCTGGTACATGTTTTATTTTGAAAAGAGTATATTCTATAATATAACATTTAAGGGCAATGCCTATTTATCAACATATTATCCTGTGCTTGAGCTGCTTTGAGGCAAATGGCAGGTTGCTGGGCACGTACGTATGACTAGCGAGGGAGATGTATGAAATGTCTTTATTGGCTATCATCGCATCAATTCAGTTTGTACGCACAGTACGGTTTTATACTGTAAGTAACTGTCTTGTATTATGATATCGACTATCTAGCGAGGGAAGTAGCCGAATATGTGTGTGTGTGTGTGTGTGTGTGTGTGTGTGTGTGTCACTGTGTGTGTGTGTGTGTGTGTGTGTGTGTGTGTGTGTGTGTGTGTGTGTGTGTGTGTGTGTGTCGTCGTACGTACGTACGTACGTACGTACGTAGTACGTAACGTTAAGTTAAGTTTAGTTTACGTTAACGTTAACGTTAACCGTAACGTAAGTAAGT